TTTTTGTTTCGTTTTGTTTTGTTTTGTTTTTTGAGACAGGGTTTCTCTGTGTAGCTTTGGAGCCTTTCCTGGAACTCACTCTGTAGCCCAGGCTGGCCTCAAACTCACAGAGATCCGCCTGCCTCTGCCTCCCCACTGTTGCGATTAAAGGTGTGTGCCACCACCGTCTGGCTCCATTTTTCTTTGGGATAGATCAGATTTGATTAATGCACTGTGATCAAGTGTCTGAATTACATTTTTTGTGTTTTTTCTTATATATGAACACATTGGTAAGGGCTTTCCTGTTGTAAGAAAAACCCTTCAAGTATCCCAATTTTGGGCTATTGTGATTGTGTGTATGTGTGTGGAGGTGTTAAGTTTTTTTTGTTACTTTTTAAAATTATGTGTGTATGTGGTGTGTGTGTGTGTGTGTGTACACTCAAGTGTTTGTGCATGTGTGTGCAAACCAGAGGAGGATATTAGGTCTTTGAAGATGGAATTAAGGCAGTTGTAAGTTGCCTAGTGTTGGTGCTAGTAGTCAGTGCAGGTCCTCTGGAAGAGCAGTGCATGTACTTAACTAATGAGCTGTCTCTCCAACACCTGTTTTGTTTATTAAGCCTGTGTCTTAGTAGGTAGCCCTAGCTAGCCTGGAACTCACAGAAATCTTTCTGCCACTGCCTCACAAGTACTGAGATTAAAGACATGTGCCTTTAATTATGTATGTGCCTTAGTATATATGTTTTTAATAGTATGTTAATTGTCTCTTCCTCTAGTTTCATCAAAATTGGATTATTAAGTAGTAGAAAGTCTCCCACGATTTAAAGATGAAGCTAACATTGAAATGGACTGTGTTGTAGATTGCGTCATTTTTAAAGTGCCACAGGTGATTGTGATGAGCTTAGGAACTAATGCAATAGAAGACTACACTGTTCACTAACATTCTAGATCTGATACAGTTTTGTAGATAATGACTGCAAATGATCTTTTAATTATTCTTAGCAACTTTTAACTTTTTTTTCCTTTTTTCTTTTCCTAGTTTATGCCAGCGTGGCTTTATTCCTACAGATGAACCAAGCATTGGGATAGCAATATAAAATTAGAATCAGACAGCTGACTGCTCAGCAGGATGCCATCAACTAACAGAGCAGGCAGCCTAAAGGACCCTGAGATTGCAGAGCTCTTCTTCAAAGAAGATCCGGAAAAGCTCTTCACAGACCTCAGAGAAATCGGCCATGGGAGCTTTGGAGCAGTATATTTTGTGAGTTAAAGGCTTGATGTCAGAGATGTTGGAGTGAAAAATGTTAAAAGAGATAAGGAATTTGCTGAGTAGGAAAACAAACCCTGCTCTCACATTGCTTTTTATACCACACATGTCTACATGCATTATGCAAGGAATGACTTTTTGCAGCTGACATCACTTGGTTGTCCTCTAATTCAATTCCATTTCAAAACTACCTAGAGATATGTCATCTCCGCCCAGTCCCATAAGAATGCCTCCCATTTTGAGATGCCAGTTAAAAGCTCTAGCTTGGGCTGGAGAGACGGCTCAGAGGTTAAGAGCACTGCTTGCTCTTCCAA